CCGGCGGCAGGAGCCAGGAGGAGGATGGAGGAGGCCGGATCCATGGAGGATGGAGGAGGCCACCCGCTTGACGCTGCTGCTGCTGCCGAGCTCGACGTCGCACGCCCGAGGCGGATCCGGTGGAGGTGGCGGCCGCGCACCCGCGCGTGGCAGGGGCAGCCCGCGGGAGGTGACGACAGACGCCACCGAGGAGGGTCCGTCGCCGCAAAGCGAGGCTTCTTGCAGCGTGTGGGGAAAGGGGCGGAGGGCGAGCGAAGCGGACGCTGGCTTAGCTTGTTGTGGAGCCGCCCGTGCTATTTTTTATATGCGGAGGGGGGGAGGAAGGTGGGCGGCCAGCTGGCTTGGGCATGTGCCGCTTAGGCCTCGGGGAGGGGTCAGGGGAGGATGAGTGAGGACGGGGAGGGGGTAGGCCGGGCCGCTGCCGGGCCGACTAACTCAGGGTGGGCCGTGCCGTGCCAGCCCATGAGCCTGAGCAGCGGCCCAGGCACGGCCTACTCCCTCGGGCCGGGCCAGCCAGGGCCCGCACGTCATCGGGCCGGGCCGTGCTCATATCGGGCTAAAAAAACTGGCTTCGTGCCTAGCCGTCGTGCCTCGGGCTGCATGGACATTTATAAGTACATGGACGAGCTTTTTTTTTTGAAATAGCTGATTTTTTTATTTAGAAACGGAGGACGAGGTGAGCTTGGGCTGGCGTCGTGCGGCTCACCAAAGTTGCGTCCAGCCGGCCAGACGCCCGCTTCCTGTAGCGTATTAAAAATGAAAACAGAGCCAAATACCGAATTGAGCCCAAAATAGTAGTCTCCTGCTCTCCCATCCATCTCGGTCGGCCAACTTCTCCAATTCCCCCATCCGCAGTCTGCTCGGCAGTCGACGTACCGCTGCGCTCGTGCGGTGCGCGTGCGTGATTCCGTCCGCTCGGCGTGACGGCGCTTCTCCCGATCTCCCCTCCCGACTCCCGTTCCTGCGATCCAAACCCTCTGTCCGTTCGAGGCGGCGGCGGCGGCGGACTGGCCGCTCTCCTCTCGGCTTGGCTTGGGCGGCTGCCACGCCGCGCACTTGCGGTCTGCGGCCGGGGCAGCGCCGCAGCAGCCACTGAGGCCGGCGGCGGCTCCGCGGCTGGAGGCCGGCGCGGCCCACGCGGCAGACACCGAGCCACTGTCCCACCGAGGAGGCCAGATCGCCGAGCAGCGAAAACGGAACAGGAGCAGCCGAGCAGGTCTGAATACTCTTGACTCTCTGATCGATTGCAGCACCAACTGCATCAATATTCAATTGGCTTCCCATTTACTGATATTAGATCAGTACTCGATTTTTTTAAACCGCTTCAATATTGCAACTATGGTAATGAAAACAAGGGCAGAGGAAGAGAAAGACTAGAGTCAGGAATATATGGGTAGAGACAGAAAGAACTTCCTGGAACTAACCATTTTGTTGTGACAATTACCAAGATCTTTCACTGAAAAACGAATCTTGATCACTATTATGGCGTTGGTAAGTTGGCAACTATTGTTAATCACCATTGTGGTCGGAACAGTTCAGAGAGGAAGTGGAGGTGCACATCTCCACGCTTACTGCAAATGGTTTGAAGCGAGTCAGATAATGATACAATAGCCAGTCTGTCATCCAATGGTGAAAATGATTGGAAAGGCCAAGCTTTGATTCGTTGAACAAGGGCAAAAACCATCAGTAGCGACTAACAATTATTAATCCATGTGATACGCGCTTAAGAAATCATCAGAATAATACATACTCAATCTTGCTGATTAAATTAGACATCAAGATCGCATCAATAACATTGATTAGAATTGTTGCTTGCAACAACCAGTTTCGTCACAGTTGCTTCTGCTATATATTATGTGTTATATCTGCTATGTATTATGCAATTATACTTATGTTGTAGTTTACAACTTTAGGTTGTCATTTTTTTTTTTGAAACCCATTCATATTTTGAATGCGCAACCAGCCAACCTCAAAATCCTGGGCCTGCCACTGCCCAAGCAAGCGAAGTGAAATAGGTAGAGGCATGCTTCTCTTGTCACCAGTGATCCATCCCCGCCATCACTTATCCTTTGCGGCTGGGCCGAGAAATGGATAGTCTTTTTTTCTTTTCATTTTGTTTTGGGCAGCCATACGCTTCTGTGAATCTGGGACATCAGTCTCTTTCTCCCCAGTTAATTCCGTGCCTGTTTACTGGACCTTAGCATGTACCCTCCTCAATGAGTTAGGACTTAGGACACCACTGGTCTTTCTTTGCACAAAGGAATTGAATTTGTCAATAGAGATGTATTGAGAGCCACTAGAAATTGAGTGTTTGATTTAGGTGGCCTACATTGACTGACCAGTGCACTCAAAAGTTAAAGATCTGACAGAAATGTGGACAACATGGTTGAACATTCCATCTCATCGTCACGCATAGGCTCTATATGTGGTCAACATAACGTTAGAAGTGGACCTTTTCTGTCATAGTAACTTGTAAAATCCAATTCTCCGACTCTGGATTTTAGACTCATGGTAATCCCAAGCGAAACATAATTTGTCAAAAAATTGAACTGACTGGATCAAGTTTGTCTATAGTATTCCATACTAAGATGAAAGTTTGTTGTTTTCAGGTACTCTCTCTGATGAAAGTTTGTTGTTTTCAGGTACTCCCTCTGTTCCAAATTATAGTTGACTTTGTCTTTGTCTATCAAAATATATTTTACTCCCTCCGTTCCATATTGTAAGTCGTTCAAGCTTTTCTAGATACATAGTTTTTACTATGTATCTAGACAATGTATATTTAGGTGCGTAACAAAAACTATGTATCTAGAAAAACCAGATTGACTTACAATTTGGAACAGGGGGAGTATAAAGAATCTAATGAAATGAATTTTATGTTACAGATGTTGGTGAAATTACAAACTTGGTTAATGTTGAAGTTGAAGTTTAACTTAGGACAAATCCAAAGTAAACTACAATTTGGAACATAGGGAGTATGTTTTTTCCCTGTACACAGCTTATGCAACACAAAGAAAAATTCATGTTAACTTCCCACCACTGGTCCATAGCAGCCACTCCCTTGATATGTTAGCATAATCCTAGTGCAAGCTCAAATGCATTCTCAGCCGCTTGCCCTTTCTCTGCCATCATGTTCTGCCACCTGCCCACCTCTCCCATCGCCTGACCTAACTGGCCTCTATGTCCCTGTGCTACCCTTTCATCCCCCATCCCAACTTTTGGGCTGCCTGCTGTTTCTAGCATGCACACTAGCCTTCCTAATCCACCCTCTTCGTGAAGGGTTTGCTCACCGCAGGGCAAGACTTCAGCTACCATGATGCCATGTCTCCTCTTGGATCTATGGCTGCTGCTCAGTGTTCTTCAGATCAGTGTTAAAAAAACACAACTAAGCACTCGCCTAGGACATTTAAGCGCGAAATGGAGCCCTTCACGCCTCACCTTGGCCATAGGCATTCAATTAAATGCCGACCAATGGCATGGAATCATGGGAAATCGGGATAATGGCAAGCTAGCGCGTGGACGGGTGAGCGGCAGGAGCATGTGCGAGCGCGGTGGGCAGCAGCACGCAAAGAAACAATATGTGCTTGTGCCATGGCTGCAGCCACATCTCCACATCTTGCGTTGGTGCCAGCAGCAAGGAGAATCTCGAGCACCAACTCCTCAAGTAACTACCACCCCACGCGCGCCTCCATGGTGCGTGCTATCAAGAGGCCTGGGCCACCTGAGTCCGGCAATCCCAGACCCTGCGGTATGTGAAGTGCAGATGGCTCTGTGGGTGTGCGGCAGATGTGTGCATGCTGGGAGGGAAATGGGAAGGGAAACAGAATGGGCATGGATAAGGTTGGGGTGTAGGATTTTTAATGGGCCAAGGGAGATACCGCTGCTGGCCTGCTGGCCCTTTTGTTGTAACAAGGCTGGAGTGAATCTGTGATGCAATGATGCACTTGAACACATCCCAGCAGCCAAAAAAAAAAAAGCACAAACACTTAATCGCGTTTCTCCGCTTAGGCATCCTAGTCACCAATCAGTGGCCTGGTGCCTGCCTAGTGCCTAGCGCCTTTGGAACCTTGTGTTTAATTGTTTATGTAGGTATGCCAGTCAATTTGGGTGAGGCTGGACGGCTTAGGTTCACTACTTTGTGTTTCCTCTTTTGCATATAGCAGCATAAGAGTTGTATCTTAGAATTTCATCCTTGGATGTTCAATTAACTAGATACAACAACATGACAAGTGGCAGCATCCTCATGCTATAATTTGTTTTCAATGTTTGATATTTGATTTGTTTCTTCTTGTAATTTATGATATAAGTGCCTTTTGTTTTTTTTCTTGTAACTAAAAAGTGGAGAGAAGTAATTTTACTAATTCTGTTATCATGGTCGAAACTACCATGCCTGGTAAGCTAGCACCTAGCAATGCGTTCTTCATTGCTTTCCATGCTGCTTTTTCTACATGCATTTATGGTACTTGTTAATTTATCTTTTTAACCTAGAGCTTGTAGAGTTAGATAGGATGGACCTCCTCGTTTCATGCTTTTTGTTAATTGTCGCTCATAACATTGTTACATCTGTGAACTGAGTTTTAATGCATTGATTTCACCATTGCAAGCAATGAAACACTATGGTAGTAAGAGTCTTAACGATATGTCAAGTGCAAATGGATTTGATGGCTATGAATAATGAACAGTTGACTGATTAGATATAGGCTTATTTATATTTTGTTGAAAGTTGAAGAAACTGGAAGGTTTATGCTATATACTGGAGCCAATCAAGATATGTGCACTAGAGTCCAGCAGAACTGTATATCTTGGTTCATGCTATTCCTGTTCTTGTTTTAGCTTCCCTCCTTTCTGTTCAAGTTTTTTCATACTTTGCAGCATATATAGCTAAGTCCACTAGATAGCTTTTGTTAATTGTTATTGTTCTACATTTATTAGGTACTTCTCTAAGCACCAAGGAGGTTTTGTATTGTGTGCATAAAAAACTGTTTATGAACACTTCACTAGCCATGTCTAATGTTCGTGATGAGAAACCACATCCAGAGGTTTCCGCTGATCCTATATGTTCAAGGAACTGCATTTATGGGGATGATGACTGGGTAATAGTCAAGAAACAGCGTATCACCATATTAATTCCTCCACAATCACCTATTACTGCAAATCCTCAATCAAATATGCCCACAATAAGTTATAAGCAGTCTTGCATAACTAGGAGCAAGAGAGACTGCGATGCCCCCAGAAAGAAGCACCCCGAGAAGTTGGCAGCCAAGAAATGTCAGGGCTCCCCTCCAGTGCATGGCAGTATAGTCCACGAGGATGTTCCAATTATGGCAGGTGATAAATTACCACACAGTTCTGCTGTCCCTGTTGCAAAAACAGAATGGACTAAGGATCATGCTGTTCGAGAATTGTTTCATCAAGAAACTGGGAAGGCGACAAGTTTCTTTGGAAGCATGGGTAAGCCAATGATGCAAATTATATCTTCACCTGTTGCGAATAAGATAATTCGAGCCAAGCTTCTTGAGAGACAGGTTGCTGGGTTTGGCGGGCTGAGGAATTGGCTTTTCGGTTGTGGTCTTGGATGGTTTGTTAACATATTGGACACTGAAAAGCTGGGGATGTATCAGCTTGCTTCTCTTACTATGAAACAGCTGAAAGATATGGGCCTTGTTGCTGTAGGTCCACGGAGGAAACTGATCCATGCCATTGACAGTTTATGCCACCCACACCATGTTGAGATGCTTTCTTGATCCCTTGTGCATTTTAGTGGCTAGAAAAGCTATTACAGGAAGGAATGTCTGAAGTGGTCTCTGATTGTAGTCAGTTCGGTGGCTGAAGCCATACACATTTCTTTTATGGATAGCATTTCAGTCAAGAGGTGAAGCTCGTGCTGAAAGTTTTGGAAGTAGAAACGTACAAGTGCTAGCGAGTTTGTCCTCTGAAACACGTTTTTAGATTTTCCCTCTAAACCCTGACTACAAAAAGACGGCACCTTGCAATCTTGTAGATATGCTTCTCTGTAAGTTGCAATTGTGCTATTATGAATGTGCTGGGTCTCCCTCCTGGCAAATTTGATATGTTTGAGTGGGCGGGCGGCTGTGTAATTGTAAAAGGACTTGTGTTTTATGTTGCAAGTACTGTAAATACGAGGTATAGGCATTCTAAGGAAAATAGATCACGAGTGAGCCAGACATGCTCGTGTAGTCTTTCTGATGTGGTGGACACCATAAGCTGATTATGTTGAATTATCATACGTGAAAACTGTTCTGGAGCGGATTGGTAGGATTTAGCAGTATGGAAACTAACCCGTTTTGATCTCTGGGTGAAAAACCAACGCTCCCTAAGTTTGGTTGACACATGGTGCAAATGGAAGTTGTTTGGCTACACCAAACAAGCGTGACCAAATATTGACCATGGTTGGGTGTTACTAGTGCCTGTCTGGACGGACGCCTCTGGCTGCTTGTTTCCCGTGTGTAGCGAGCGGACGGCGTGAACCTCAGTTTGCTCCGGGACCACCACGCGAGCATCGTGCCGCTGTCGGCCCACTAGAGGCCACCACCTCCACAAGCGTCTCCGTGCTCGTCGGGTAGGGTTTCCCCGCCGAGCTCGAACTACCGCGGCGAGATGGAGGGGAAGGAGAGGAGAGGACAAGGCGCGCCGCCCGAGGTAGGAGCCGAAACCCTGCAGTAGGGATTTTTTTATTTTTAACCTATTTTTAATACTATTTATAAAACTAACACGGTTAGTTTTTTTAAAACTAACCTGTTTGGCCGCGCCTATTGCCCTAGCGCGGCCAAACCACTCTGGCACCAAACAAGTTAGTTTAAAAAAAAGTAAACTATGTTAGTTTTATAAATAGTATTAAAATGGTTAAAATAAAAAAAAATCACGGTAGACCATTGTCCACCAGCCACCGACGCCATTGCAACATGTGTGTTTACACCAAAATTTGGAAGAAAAATCATAGGGACTCGAAAGCTCCCAAGATCATATCATCAAGGAATCAATTGCTTGCATGTCAGTATCGGCTGATTCCAATGCAACACTAGAATCGACTTTCTTCATATAGCGCCGGCAGGTAACGACAAAGGCTACGATCGGCGTCAGGACAAGGCATGTTGGACTCTGTAAAAAGGGAAATGTTAGAGTTCAAGTTATCTTAATTTCGGAATGTTTTCTCTAGGGCCAAAAATTGTGAATCCCGGCTAGGAATCATGCGTAGGTTCCGGATATAAATATTCGCCCCCGGCTATTCTAAAGGACACACAATCAATCAAATACAAGTTACTTACTTTTTCGGCTCCGGCCACCCCTTAGGAGTAGGAGTATAGTAGATCTCGGCGAGTTCTTTAGCAAGTACGGCTGCATCGATCCGGTCGACCTCCACTGCTTGTCTGTAAGTACCGTCATGGTTTATACTTCCGTTCGTATGGCTGCATCGATCCGTTTGACCTCCACTGCGACTCTGGTATAAGCTAATTATCGACTCTTGTCTAGTTCAAGTACGGCTGCATCGATCCGGTCGACCTCCACTGCTCGAACTAGATTAAAGTCAAGTTATCGGCTCTATCTAAGGGTGGCTTTCCTTCGGATAGATTCATTAAGTTATTGATATTGCTTATTGTTTCCATTATTTATTTAATTACAACAATATCACTTCGCCTGATTGGGATTGATCTAGATCGGCCTTATATTCTGTTAAACCAATCATTTGTTAATCTAAATTTGATCTAATCTGTACTTTAAATGATGAGTTATGTTTTATCAGCTATTTTATGTCAATCTTGATCGTGCATAGTGTGCGGTTAAGGCATGTCTGATCTTGAGTAGATCTATTGCCTAGCGAAAACCGTTCCATGGCCCGTTATCACGGCCTGTGTGATTCTGCCTCACACCCCACTGTTAGTACCGTGGAGTGAGAATCGTTATTTGGTAGATCTATTCCTGATAGGGCATGACCTTAACTGTGCGCTATGCCTGAATCGGCTGTTTTAGCCGATATCGAGTGCTTTCACGAACAGTTCACGTCACGAGACCGTTAAAGTAAAGATAGATTGAAAGATGTGTTAGCCCTATGATCTTATTATTGTATTACGGCCTGCATAATTCTGCTTCATGCCCCATTGATATTAGTAATAAGTTAGGGTCGTTGAATCTATTGTTGTTTCTACGGCATGCACGATTCTGCCTCATGCCCCACTGGTCATAGCGGTAGATGAGATCTAATATGTTCATTAGATTTATCTTTATCAAATGGTTAAATGATGATGACCAGTTTCTTTTATACGAAAAGGGATTCGGTTACTTACAGTCATTGGCTTAGCATAAATTAATCATTGTTGACATCCTTTTGCCATTGACTAATGTTTGTCTAAATAACAAGATCTATCCTGAGTGATAACCGATTTATCTTCCATGATTCCATGAGCTTTAATTGATTTATTCTTATGAGTATGCTAGAATCGACTATTTAGTCGATTTCCTTCCATATCGGCTCTTAGAGCCGCACATTCGAGACTGTCTGGCAACACCGGTATATTCCGCCTTAAATTACTGATTAGCTTTTCTCTCCTTGTCAATTGCAGGGTCAAATTGACTGGCACGTCTCGGGAGGAGTGCGTAGGATCGACCATCCCTGCGCTTAAGCTAGGTGGATCTCTAGCTCCAACGAGCGGACCCTTCCAGCTTGCTCGTGTGTCCTCGACACGGGACGAAATTTCGTGCCGACACACGTTCTTGGCATGCCCGGTGGGACACCATAATCGTCATGGCGGTTCACAACAACAACGACATCCTTATGGTACATTATGAAGATCTACCTGATGGAGATAAAGATGTCATCGGTAAAGCTATAGAAGAATTTTAGAACAAGTGTTTGTTGTCCTACACCAAAACACATGACAACATAATTGTTCAAAAATATCCACTACTAAGAGTTCTATTACACAGGCAGACAGATACAATTGAAGCTGAAGACAGGCGTTTCTTTATAGAAATTGTAAACAAATATGTTCGTGATGTCATATCAAACCATAATGAAGCTTTTTTGGACACATTCCACAACGCCATGAAAGAGGTGATTCATGGGTTTCCAGTTGGTCAAGTTGGGCCGGCTTATTACAACATTCCACATCCGTCGACCCAAGAGACTAATCAAGTTGGTACCAGCCATCAAGAAGCAGCACTAGCTGGTAATGATGATGTCCAGGCAATTCAAGGTTTATCTGAACAAGCTCAAGGTACTACTACGAATCAGATTAAGTATAATCCTAGACCGTCAGTACAACATGTGCAACAGCCGACGGGGCAAGGTCAGAACCAGGTGATTAATTTTGGCACATCGGGCCACATACCATCGTCGGCTCAAAAAATAGCACCATCAGTTCAAAAGATCCATAGAGATATAGATCCTCATGTCTATAACCAGAGACTTCAAGCAGTGAACCAGCAAAGAACCCAGTAGATAGAGATTCCACAAGAGTATCATTATGGCACAGATTATAACACCCTTTACATGATTCTGAATCCAGGGTATAAAGGCACACGGGATTTCAATCCACAGATGGGTCAGCAGGTGCAGATAAATCCAAATTCACATGCTGATGAGTTGCTGCTAAAGGTGACCGAGATGATGAAGAATCAGTTTGGTCTGAAGCCAAAAGGGCTGACCTTTTCATACAAACGCCATATCCAGAATGGTATGATTTGGTCTTTCTTCCTGCAAATTACAGGCTTCCAGAGTTTGCTAAGTTCACTGGCCAAGACAGTACGAGCACAATAGAACATGTCAGTCGGTATCTTACACAATTGGGCGAGGCATCAGTTGAGGAGGCCCATCGAGTTCGTTTCTTCTCCTTGTCCCTATCAGGACCAGCCTTCATTTGGTTTTCATCACTGCCTGTCAACTCCATTGTCAATTGGGCTGATCTAGAAAAGAAATTTCATATATATTTTTACACTAGGACTGGAGAAAAGAAGATTACCGATCTGACAACTATAAGGCAGAAGACTAATGAATCAGGCACTGAGTTTCTTCAGAGGTTTCGAGAGACTAGAAACTTATGCTTCTCATTAAACTTGGCTGATGATCAGCTAGCTACTTTAGCCGTTCAAGGAATGCTACCAATGTGGAAAGAAAAGCTGTTGGGACAAGAATTTGACAACTTAGGTCAATTGGCTCAACGAGTGGCAGCGCTCAATAGCCAATTCCAGAGTATATGCGAGAGATACCCGATTCTAGAAGAGTACCACAGTGGCTAAAGCTTATAATCCATACTCAATCGATGACGGCTATGAAGATGAAGAAGAAGAGGTTGCTGCGGCTGAATGAAATTGGGGCAAAAAGACGGTAATGGTGCCAAATCCTTGGGGAAGAGGAGTCGAAGAAAGCTATGACTTTGATGTCACCAAATCAGACAAGCTCTTCGATTTCTTACTTGAGAAGGGGCAGATCAAGTTGCCCGATAATCATGTTATGTTGCCCCCTGATCAGTTGAAGAATAAGAAGTTCTGCAAGTTCCATAATACTACCTCTCATTCCACTAATGAATGTAGAATTTTCCGACAGCATATACAGAGGGCTATTCAGCAAGGAAGACTCAAGTTTGATACACCTCGGAAAATGAAAGTTGATGATAATCCTTTCCCAGGAGATCAAAACATGGTTGATGCTAGGCTGCTCAAAGAAAAGACTAAGGTCCTAACATCAACCAAATCAAGAGAAGCTAGAACAGTCGATCCCAAGATGCAA